ATCATCTGGAAGAATCTTCTAGAAGACTGGTGCATTGCTGCCTTTCCTGCTTCTGATATGTATACCACTCAGGATTGCTAGCGTAAACTTGAGCACAGTTCAGGGCTGCAACTCTGGTGCCATGTTGGACCAGCTCTGTAAAACGCATTGCATTCTTGTTTCTACTTTTCATACAACACTTGGAGAATTAAAAAAGATCTAGGGTGAGGGTAAGATTTTGGCTAAGTTGAATTTTTTTTTAAAAATGAGGTCCTCCCCTCCCCCAAAAAAAATAAAAATAAAATAAAATGAGGTCCTCCCCCTCCCAATATATATGTAGATTGCAAAAAGCACTACCAATTCTTCCCCTCCCTTCAAGAGGTAGAGATCCTTTCTCTGCCTCTCAACTCTGACCTTGATTGTATGATTTGCTTTGACCAGTGGGATCTTAGCAAACGTGACACAGCAGAAGCTCATAAAATGCTTATGTGCTGGGGCTCACCTCTCATGCTCTCAGGGGGGCCCTGCTACCACCACCATGTAAGTAAGCCCTGGAATAGCCTGCTGGCTGATGGGAGACCCATGGCCTCGAGTCACCCCTGTGACCTCGGCTGTCCTGGCAGCTGACCGCAGATGAGTGAGTGAGCCTACCTGAGATCAGCAGAACTACCCAGCCATGCACAGCACCAAGTGCTAGCCCACTGATTCTTTTTTTTTAAGATTTTATTTTATTCATGAGAGACACAGAGAAAGAGAGAGAGAGAGAATGAGAGAGAGAGAGAGAGAGAGAGAGAGAGAGAAGCAGAGGGAGAAGCAGGCTCCACGCAGGGAGCCAGATGTGGGACTTGATCCCAGGTCTCCAGGATCAGGCCCTGGGCCGAAGGTGGTGCTAAACTGCTGAGCCACCCAGGGATCCCCCTAGCCCACTGATTCTTAAGCTAAATGAACAGCTACTGTTTTAAGCTCTTGAGTTATAGGGTAATTTGTTACGCAGAAAAAGCTAACTGCTACAGGATGCTAAACATAACTGAATGTTTGGTGAATTGGCATTTTGTAATTCTGGGGGTTATAGACTGAATATTAATTTTTTCCATACAGAACTATAGATTTAAAAGACAGAGGCTGAATTTATACCGAGCCCAGGATGTACCTTATTGCTTTTTTAAAAAGGCTAATCTACATATAATTATGCTTAAAATGCAAATGTTAGAATAGTATGCTAAGTATGACTGTATTAGATTAATTAAGTTTATGCTGTATATAGATTTGTATGTCCATGGAAAATTCTAGAAGAGCACTGAAGAAACAGTTAATAAGGATATCTCTGGGCCTTGGACTAGAGGTGGGGTAGGGGTAGGAAGAACTTTAATTTATTGTTTGTATCAGGCTTGATTATCAGGATTATTTGTTATCATGATTATTTGTTAATGTTATAATTAAAACACTGCTAAAATCTAAAAAATTAAGCCCATCACCAAATGGTTCAAGAGTACCAGCCTGGCTCAAGGACCTGTGTTCTTTGTTTCATTTGTACTTTTTTTTTTCTTAAGAGCTCAGTGTCCAAAATACATCCCATTACTTTAGGATTTTCATCAGCGTAGGCGCCGGTGAATTGAGTTTTTAATCTGGTAAGCATTTGCTGCATGTCAAAAAGACTGGCTTTAAAGAAAGAAAATGCTTATTTATTTAGTTTTGTATTAATTTCCCACCTACTTCCAAGAAATATTTGAAACTCCTAAGGTAATGCATTAATTAAACGCTGCTAAAGCAGAATTTCTGGCCAAATAAAAGACCTTGTGTTACCATAGCACCACATTTGCAAATTGGAAAAATAAAACACCACGAAAATCTGCCTTCATCGAGGGCTCCTAGATCCAGTGAACACAGTCTGAATTGAGACCTGAGGTTCAAGATGTCTGAAATGGGAGATGAAGATCTTTAAGAAAATGAGGCCCCCGATTGTTGGCATTAGTTGCTGTTCAGGCAGGCATGTGGCTGCCAAGGGCCCGAGAAGCCAGACCATGGGCTTCAGTGTCACCTTTGCTCTTGAGTCCCAGGACCCATCAAAGCAATACACTACGGAGCCTGTGGGAAACGGACTCTGAGCTCCGATGGCCCTCTCCAGTTCTCCTGGGGTCTGGTTAATCACATGACCAAATGGCATCTAAAGATCATGCCACCAGCCTGCCTAGAACACACTCCCTGCAGAGAGGCAGTAGGAAACTGATCCTCAGTTTAGGCTGTGGAGAACATTCCAGGATGAGGGTTGGTAGTGGATTTCTCACATACGATAGATACATTGTGTGATGAGTATTTTGGCTTAAGGTGCTTTGGATATTGTGATTTATAAGAGATGCATTTTGATACTTAGAATGACCCAGGAGAGAAAGAGAGAGAGAGAGAGAGAGAGAGAAAGAGAGAGATCACAGAGGGAGAGGGAGAGGCAGAGGGAGAAACAGACTCCCTACAGAGCAGGGAGTGCAACTCAGGGCTCGGTCCCAGGACCCTGAGATCATATGTGAGCTGAAGGCAGATGCATAGCTGTCTGAGCCATCAGGAGCCCCCAAAATATATTTCTCATATATATTTGGTCTTCATCCACGGTTCCTGGCTTATAGCTCCTAAAACCCTTGGCAAAAGGAACACCTTTTGTCATATTTGGTCTCTTGTCCTGGGTTCCTGAAAATGCTTCAGAGCCATAAAAGTGAATGGGTGTCTTGTTATTCATAACAAACCCCTTTCCCCCACTGCTGGGTTTATGTTAACGGGGTGACTATTGGGAAGTAACCTAAGGCTGGGGGCTGCTGCCAGGGAAACCAGTCATGAATAGAGGGTTTGAACTTTCAGTTCTACCCCCTGATTTCTGGGGAGGGGAAAGGGGCTGGGGGCTGACTCAATCCCCAATGGCCAATGATTTCATCAATCACGCTTATTTAATGAAGCCTCCATAAAAACCCAAAAAGACTGGGTTGGGAGAGCTTCCAGGTTGGTGAGTACATGAAGATGGGGGCAGAGTGACAGGCCTGGAGAGGTCAGGAAAGCTCCTCATCCTTTCCCCAGACCTCGCCCTGTACATCTCTTCCATCTGGAGCTTCCTGAATTACATCCTTTTATGATAAACCAGTGATATAGTAAGTAAAATGTTTCTCTGAGTTCTGTGAGCCACTCTAACAAATTAATCGAACCTAAGGAGGAGGTAGTGGGAACCTCTGATTCATGGCCAGTTTGTCAGAAGCCCAGGTAACAACCTGGACTTCCAGCTGGCATCTGAAGTGTGTGTGTATGTGGGATGGAACAGTCTTGTAGGACTGAGTCCTTACCCTGTAGAATCTGTCACTCTCTCCATGGAGAGAGTATCAGAATTAAATTGTAGGACACCCAGCTGGCGTCCAGAGCATTGCTTGAGGATGTAGGGGGAAAATGCATCCTCCCTCTGAATTGGTACCTGAACCCTTCTTGCAGGCTGTCACGGTGGGATGGAGGTACGGAGGCAATGCTTCTCATAAGGACAGAGAAGTACATTTGCAGTGAAATCTGTTGATCTGAGTCAAAAGGAAATGAAGAGCTTTAGGAACAGTCCTACTGCTTTAGAAATCCATGCACCCGTATACAAAGCATGAGCCCAAACAAAATAAATTTGAGATGTTGGCAGAAGACCACATAGGTAGCCTTGGTCAAAGCTTTTTCATTGGGCAGAGCATACGTCTAATTATGTTGGCTCAGTTAAAGAGATCTTCTTTTTTAAAGATTTATTTATTGATTTTAGAGGGGGTGGGGGAGGGAGCAGAGGGAGAGAGAGAATCTCAAGTGGAATCCCTGCTGAGCACGGCGTGCCACTCAAGGCTCTAGACCAGGACCCTGAGATCATGACCCGAGCCCAAACCAGGAGTCGACACTTCTCCGACTGCACCACCCAGGCGCCCCTAAGGAGATCTTTAATAAAGAATTGCAGGGCATCTTATGGGACCACAAACAGTGGTTTGGAGGCTGGCATTGCCAACAAGCTGATAGAGTCCAAGTTAGCCAGTCGCTTTTTTTTCCTTGTTGCGGGGGGTGGGGGGCAGCTCATGTTCTCTAATTTCTTCTTTTCCCCGCTTGTCTTCTCTATTCTCCTCCATACCCTTGCAGGTAGACCTTTCAGTTGACTCATCAGTGTGCATATAACTGAAAAAGTCTGCTCCAGCCCAGTTGTGTGGGACCCATCTTAATCCAAACAATCACACTAAGGACTCCGTAGAGTTGCGGCGTCTCTTGGTTCAAGTTTTTGGTGCCTCTGACACAGCTGAGTGTTTCCTTCAGCCGGAAGGCTCGTGGCCTAGTTAAAGCAGATGCTGGCCGTGCCCTGCCCATAGTCTTTACTGTTTCGGTGCATACTGGCTGCATTTCCAACAGCCAGTGCCCACATCTGTGTGTCCGGGGGCTTCTCTGGCGTGGACTCTGCCGGGCTGCTGGCCACCAGTGGCTAAACCCGTGAATGCCCCACAACAGGTTAAAGTTAGTATGGAAAGTCCCTGATTTCTTTGCCCCTTTTGGTGGGATAATTCCAAGGCTTGTCTTCTAGACTATTCTCCAGCAAGACTGAGTTCCAGTTACCCACAGTGGTAACTTGCTTGATGAGGCATCCTGGAGTGGCCACTTCCTGGTTGCACTTCTCCCCTCCACTACTGGCACATCTTGGAATCACCTCCTAAATACGCTACTTGCCCAGGAATCCTTGCTTCGGAGCCCACTTCTGGGCTAAAATACTAGTTCAGTTCGGTGTGCCAGGTCACTTAAAGCACGAGGGAAGCTGAACTGTCAGTGGGGCGGACCTGGGGAAAGTTTACCTTGTTAGAAAGAAACCATTATGAAGGAGAGGCGGGGCATCGGCATATGATAAAAAGATTTCTACCCACATAGAAATCCACGGGACTGAGGGTGAGGCAGTGCTGGAAACCATGTGGGCGGGGATCAAAGGCAAGGGGAACAGAAGTCATATTGTTGTAGGAGCATATTACAGGCTGCCAAACCAGATGGGGGACGTCGATGATGGGTTCCTGACCTGAGACCACACAACAGGCCCAAAGGCGAGACACCTACCAATGGGGGCACCAGCAGCTGGATGGCCGCTCAGAGTCCCCGCCAGCTGAGAGCAGAGCATCTGAACAAACTCCTGGCTTGCCTTGCTGACAGTTTCACCTCCCATAAGACTGAACAGTGACAGGAAGGATTGCTACTCTACTCGTGAGTTAATTCAAACCAGGAAGGAGAAGCTGTCGGTGAGTGAGGGAGCGGGATGGGAACTTGGGAGGTGAGTCAGTTCTCTCAGTATGGGGGCCATGGAGAGTGGGCTGCTCAGACTTCAGAATGCTTGTAGCAGTGGTTCTCAGGCTTCAGAGCCATGCACGTCCTCAAGGGCTGAGATGGACTCCAACCCCAACCCGGGGCTCTGCCTTCGAGATTCTGATTGGGTCATCTGGGAGTGGGGCCAGGGACCTCAAGTGCTCTTATGGCAAGAGGGTGCCCAGAGGACCCTTAGAGCAATAGTGCTGTAGAGAAAACAGAGGTGGGGAGTCATGGCTTGAGATGTTATGGGGACCACTGGAAGGTTGGAAGAAGACCAAAAAAAAAAAAAAAAAAGAAAAAAGAAAAAAGAAATTCCAAGTCAAACACAGAAGTGGAGCCAAAGGAGGACAGAACAATGAACCTGACCAAGAGCTGGAGCTATGCTGGGAGCCCTAATGAATATGGTTTTTTGGAATCCGGCAGAAGAGCTGGTATAGAGCCAATAAGAGCATAAAAACAGTTGCAAGAACAGTAGGAGTGGTGGCAGGAAAGCTACAAGAGTGGACTGGGGCTTCAATGATGCCAGGGCATCCATGGGGACTTTTTAAGTTAAATTCTGAGTCAGAAGGTGAACAAGAAAGGCGTCTGCTCACTGCTTGGGGGTCTGATGAGCCAATGTTCACACATGACAGAAGAGGTCTGTCTTGTGTGGCCTTCTGGACATGACCATGGCCATTACTAGACAACTCTCTGTGTGGACATGACCTCATTTAATCCTCCAAGCGACACCACAAGGTGGACATTCTTTGCATCAGGTAGCTTTCTGCTATTTGCAGGTGGGAGAAATCCAGTTTACACCAACTTAGACACAAAGAGAATGTATTGCCCCTGTACCTGGGGCATAAGGGGTCTAAGGCCACCAATGATATGGACCAGATTCTTTCTTATTTTTTTCTCTTTTCTTGATGTGCGCCTCTCTTTTCTCCGGCAGACAGACAGACATCCTACACATGGTGGGGAACATGGCCACAGCCAGGTGTCTGCTTTACATTGTCTTAACTACATGGATCTCAGGCAATGCCTTTCCCTTCTAGTTCCAGTTGCAACAGAGAAGGCCTGTGATTGGCCTAATTGTCTCGGTGCTATTCCTGAGTGGGCAGGTGAGTGGGATATTCTGATTGGCTACCCTGTGTCACATGCCCCATGGCTGAGCCAGAAGTGGTGGAGCCTGTTACCAGAAGAAGGGAGTCAGGAGTGGAGAGTCCTGGTTAATCCCAAACAATGACGACCACATTTCCATTCTCATTTTACAGATGTGGAAACTGAGTCTGAGAGAGATTAAATGAAATCACCCAGATGATATTATAACCTGGTATGCCATGGAACCAGGATTCGACCCCAATACTGTTGCTTCTGCCAAACAGAGGTCTTTTTTTTAAAAAAGATTTTTATTTATTTATTCATGAGAGACACACAGAGAGAGGCAGAGACACAGGCAGCGGGAGAAGCAGGCTTCCTGCGGGGAGCCCGTTGTGGGTCTCGATCCCAGGACCCCGGAATCACGCCCTGAGCTGAAGGCAGACATTCAACTGCTGAACCACCCAGGAGTCCCTAAATAGAGGTATTTCCTATCCGTGGGTGCAGGATTGGAGAAAGAAGACAGAGACCATGGGATGCCGACAACTCATACCTGCTCCTTCTGACAGTGGCCCTCAGCTGGTTGGGAGCCACCCATCAGAAACGCCTGGGAGGTCCCCACACCCTAGGGAAGCCAGCAGCCCATGACTGGCTAAAGAGAGCAACTCTGGTTGGTCCCCTCACACTGCAGAGGTCCCTGTAGGGTCAAGCTCAGGCCAGACTTCAGCTGAATCCACAGCTCTGTTCTCCTGCTTCTTACTCCCCTAGAGATTGTCTTCATTCCCTTGCATAAACCCCTGTCTCAGCTTCTGCTTCAAGGAAAGCAACCCAGGACAGGTACTAAATGTCAAAATCCCAATCACAAGCTGGCCATCAATCCATGGGTCCCAGATATAGAGCTGACTGCCTTCAAGCAATCAGGAACACCAGAGCCTATGAGAAGTGGGAGGGAAAAAGGGGCTGGAGGGGTGCTGGAGGCATTTATTTAAATTCTGGCAAAATGCACATAACATAAAATGGACCATTGTTGGGTGTACAGTGCAGGGGCAACCATTCACATTGTTGCACAGCCATTACCACCATCCATCTCCAGGACTCTCTCGTCTTCCCAAAGTGGAACTCTATGCCATTCAACAATAGCTCCCCATTCTCCCCAGTCTCCCCAGCCCCTGGTGACCACCATTCTGCTTTCTGTTTCTGTGGCTCGAGGGACCTCGTGTAGGTGGACTCATAGAGCATTTGTCCTTTTGTGACTGGCTTATGTCACTGGGCTTAATGTCCTTGAGGTTCAGTCATGGTGCAGCCTATGCCAGAATTTCCTTCCTTTTGAGGGCCGAACGATACCATACAGATAGACCATATTTTGCTTATCTCTTCATCCATGGATGAATACTTGGGTTGTTTCCACCTTTTGGCAATGATGAATAGTGCTGCTGTGAACCTGCGTGTACAAATACCCGGTTGAGCCCCTTGCAGTTCTTTTGGGTAAACACTCAGAAGTGGAATTTGCTGGATCCTATAGTAATTCTATATTTGGTTTTTTACTGTTTTCCACAGTGGCTGCATTGCCTTTTACATTCGCATTCACAGAACCCAAGGGTTCCCATTCCTCCCCATCCTCACAATACTTGCTAGTTCCTGTTTTCTCTTTTCTTTTCTTTTTTCTTTTCTTTTCTTTCTTTTCTTTTCTTTCTTTTCTTTTCTTTTCTTTTCTTTTCTTCTTCTTCTTCTTCTTCTTCTTCTTCTTCTTCTTCTTCTTCTCTTCTCCTTCTCCTCCTCCTCCTCCTCCTCCTCCTCCTTCTTTTTTGATAATGGCCATCCTAATGGGTTTGAAGTGGAAACATCTGGGGAGGCAAAAGTCTGAGGAGCTTCCCCACATCTCTCTGCACTGGCTGCTGGGATGACGGGGTCAGGCAAGCTCTGCCACTAACAGCAGCCTGACGGTGTCCAGGTCAAGGGCCCTCGGCCCATCTCTGCCTTCTCGACAGCCATCAACGCTGCAGGGGGATGAGGTGCTTTATTGCTTCAGTGTTTTAGGTTTTTCTTGCCCATTCTCTAAATCCTTTTGCCCATGGGTGTAGGTGGAACCCCACTGGGCTGGGGAGGAGGAGGATTTTAGTGACAGATGCAGTTCTGTGCTCTGGCATGGGGCCAAGCTGTTGCTTTTTAGTTCTCTCTCCTCCAAGGCTGACTCTTTCCAGAAGCACTGGACACATGGGGTTGGACGGCGGGGGGGACGAGTTCTCCAGCCCCCTGGGCTGCCCAGACACCGGGAACCCCAGTGTGGACTCAGCCAAGCCTGTTGTGATCCCCCTCTGCTTGTTGTTCCCCTAATAGCAGACCCCAAAGGAAGGATTTCGGCACCGGTAGTTGATGTGGGAAGTGAGCCCAAGAGGCACGGTGGGAGGAAGTGAGACAAGGCAGGAAGGAAGGCTGATGAAGGGCGCTCTGTGGAGCAGGTTCTCACTGCGGGCAGTTCACTGGGTGTTCAGAAACACAGGGCACCTTCTCAGAGACTGGAAGTCTGGAACATGGCTCAAAACTGCCCCTATCGAGACCTAAGGAAGCTGGGCATTTCTCCCGGCCCTCCTTGTTGGAGGGCTGCCTCAGAAAATGCAGATTCCCTGACATTTCCAGCCTGCCCAGACCTGGTGAGAGCATGCCTCCCGCAGCCAGATATAGCCAGCAGGAGACGGCAGAAAAAAGCTGCTGGTGGGTGACCCCTGGGGTTAGGCTGAGGGGATGCAGCAAGGCGCTGACAGCATCTGTGACATTTTCCTTGACATTAAAGGGTGTTGAAGAAGGTGTTGATGTCAACCTGGCGAAATGCGGTAAGGTCAGGATGGAGGGTGCGGTCCTCAGCCTGAGCGGGGGTGGGGGTGGTGGTGGTGGTGGTGGTGGTGAACAACTTCAGACTCTCAGTTTTGAGTACTAGGTACTGAGTCCCTACTTCATGCACCAAACTAGGTGTTTTCCTCTATGGTATCATACTTGCTCCTCCTTACAACCTTATGAAAGAAGAGATTCGTTTCATGCCATCTTTTTAAATTCATTTTGGGGGGCAGGGAGGGGCAGAGAAAGGATATCAAGCAGACTCTGTGCTGAGCGTGGAGCCTGACGTGGGGCTTGATCTCACAATCTTGAGATCATGACCTTAGCCGAAACTTAGAGTTGGCTGCTTGACCGACTGAGCTACCCAGGCGCCCCAGCTGCGTGCGATTTTGCAAATGAAGAAAAGCCTCAGAGAGGTTAAGACATTTCCAGGGGGTCACACAGGCCTGTCTTGGTATGTCTAGTGTTCCACGGCTCCCCCAACAAAGTCACCCTCACTGGCTCTGAGGGTGGCTTGGAACTGGGAGGGCTGGGAGTTCTGCAGGCTGATAGCTCCAGGATCCCCAAATCGAGTTGTGCCTGTGTAGATGGGACACACTGGCTTTGGTCAAAAAGATTCTGCCCTGGGAGCAGTAAATTAGGGGAGCCACTATGGAAAACAGTACAGAGGCTCCTCAAAATACTAAAAATAGAACTACTCATGTGATCCAACAATCCCACTTTGAGGTATATATCCAAAGGAGATGAAATCAGTATCTCGAAGAGATATCAGCATGCTCCTGTTCATTGCAGCATTATTCACAATAGCCAAAATATGGAAACAACCCGTGCCCATCAGGGGATGAACGGATAAAGGAGATATGGTCTATATACAATGGAATATTATCCAGCCAATAGAAAGAAGGGAATTTTGCCATTTGTGACAACCTGGGTGGACCTTGAAAGCATTACGCTAAGTGAGATAAGTCAGACGGGAAAAGAGAAATACTGCACGGTATCATTTATATGTGGAATGTAAAAAAAAAAAAAGAAGGGAGACTCATAGAAATAGTGAGTAGGAAAATGTTTGCCTGGGGGTGGGGGGGGGAGAGGGAGGGGCTGGTAAAAGTGTCCCGACTTCCAGCTGTAAGATGAATTAGGTCGGAGGATCCGATATACAGCACAGTAACACTGGTTGCTAACACTGCATTGTATGGTTGAAGTTCTGCCAGGAGGGTGGAACTCCGATGTTCTCACCCCCCCCCAAAAAAAGGAAAAAAGAGGCATTTAGATATGTCAGGCGATACAAACGTTAATGAACTAGATGGGGGAGGGACCCTTTCACAGTGTATATGTGTGTGGGGTCACCAGCATGTGCACTAAACATCTGAAACTTTGGTTTGTCAATCATACTCAGTAAAGCTGAAATTAAAAAACCGAACTGGACCCTGCCCTGGCAGGGGTGGGGCGGGGGGCTTGCCATGAGCCATCCACTCTCTGAACACCCCTGGGCAACATAGTTATGCAGCCTCTCTGAGCTCCAACTCCCTCTCCCTTCAGCTGAAGAGTCCAGACCGGGCTGTCTTGCGTCTAAAGCTCTGCCCGGCGCTGTGAGCCCATGGTGCTGTGTGATGTCAAGGTGTGGCTCTCAGCTCTTTGGGCTCAGAAACCCGGTCTCGCGTTGGTCAGCCTGAGTCAGCTCTGGAACCAAGTTAACACGAGGATGCTAGAAGGAGCCAGAAGGTTAATGCAGTCTTTTACAAACAGAAACTGGTTGCCATTAGCTGGATGCTGCCATTAGCTGGCCCCTGGCCCTGGACATCCGTCACAGGACTATCTAGTTGTCGGAGGCTTTGAGCGGTGGCACAGACTCTGAACAGGCTCAGATGGCCCCTCTGTAAGCCCTGAGTGGGCTACACCTGTCAAAACTGTGACTTTTGAGGTGGCCTTGCGGAGGGCGGCATCTTCCCCGAACAGTGCTTCTATGGACACTCTCAACGCCTGTTTCAGCCTCAGTTTCCCTCAGGGTTCAAAAAGAACAAAAGAGGTGGGCACACTCACATTAAGATATTTTGAGGAAGGCTTGTTTCAAAGGCTCTGACAGAGGAGTGGCTCAGAGCATTTGTAAGCCCAGAGCCGCTGGGGACTGAGTGCCTGGCTGAACCCAGCTGGAGAAGGAGCCTCACAAGGAGCAGTGAGTGACCTCTGGTGAAGGGGTGCGGCCAGCCTGAGGTGCCCCTGCAGTAGGGAGCCAGGGGGAAAAGTCAGTTTGCCCTAATCCTCCTTCCGCTGCTTACCATGTGTAGCTTCCATTGGCCCGACTCCGCAAAGCATGATGGAAGCCATGTAGGTGAGCCTGCCTGGACCAAGAGCAGGTGAGGAGGGAGGAAGGGATCCTGGGGGGTGGGGGGAAGCAAGGTGTCCAGCCTGGGCCTCCCAGCTCACCGTCTGATGGACACATTCTAATTTCCTAAGAACTTAAATCAGCCTGCTGCCAAGTCTCACTGGCCAGGGCGCTCCATCCCTCCAAGGTGACTTTGCTGTGACACGCACAGTGTTGATGGCCTAGTTTACGTCTCAGGGGCAGACTTACTTTCCTTATTTTCAACTGTGGGGTGAGGAGCCACTTTCTGGCCTGGGGTGGAGAGAGAAGGCTGAATGAGGAGGTATTTGAAAAGGGCCCTGGGGAGGGCATCAAGTGCTGTGGGACCAGTAAGCCAACCGTAGGACTGGTGGAAAT